ATTTTTATCGAACTTATTTCATCTTACAAACACCTTTAAGATAGAATAATTTTTCATTCCAGGCTCTGAATTACCGTGAAACTTTTAGTGCCACTTTTAAATGCGATGTAGAAAAATGTAGGTCAATTTGTAATTTTTCCATAATTTGTTTATTCTTTTGAATTATGAGCGATGCATCCTTAAAGGATATGTCTCGAGTGACGCAGTAACTAACGTGCACGTAGGATATAATCTGTATGTAATTCTGACTTGTACCTGGTGACTTCTGATTTCTTTCTATCCAAGGATAATTCTACATTAAAAGTAAACATAATACTGGCGTAATAGAGATATCGTTTGATTAAGAATGGATGAAATCTCGTGAAAGCCTGTCACCACTCTTGAGACGTCAATCGTAACTTCTCTCAGTGTTCTTCGACGACGGCCAGCGGCCGACGAGCTCACCCACTTACCCACCTTCCACTTTGCAAATTAGAGTCATGCAAATACAATGTTATCGCGCTATCTCCGACGGAACAGATTGTATGCTGCACGTCCCTCCGGTATTACGCGGGCATACGAGTACCGTGTAATCTCCGTTACGTCAACTGTCAAAGGGGAGATTGAGAAATGGCTCTTTCGGCTTTTATGCGATTTCCGATGTGGAGGCGCGAGCAAACGGAAGTGTGCTAAAGACGCGCGCGGAAATACATGTATGCGTGGAGAACGGACGGTGTACTCTCACGACTAATATTGGCTGAGCTAATATTAGAAGACAGATGGAAAATAGCGGGAATCGCAACATCTATTCTGATAGTGCGCTAAATTTCAATGAAATCAATTATTTACATTTTCATCGTTTGATACTTGAGGCTTTTGCGGTTTAGAATAATATTTGCCTCGGCTTCCGGGTCGGAGTCGCGTTTCTTGTCGAATTGTCTCCAACGTTTCGTAATCTTTTCAGTTCACATCATCATCAGAGAGGAATGACCTAATTCTAAACAGTTCCTCGGTACGTTTTCCTTGGAGATTGACTATCTTTATTGCTTCTTTGTTTCTCTTGACGAAATTAAATATGTAGTTTGAGAAATTACATACACAGTTAGATACAGAAATTACATACTGAGTTAAATACAGAAATTAGACACAGATTTTTCAAACTGTAATTCGCTATAAAGTAACTTGAACGACAAATTCTCTCTCTCTCTCTCTCTCTTTATCTCTTTCCACGTAATACAAATATTAGGTTGGTGCATATGAAATGTCGGATTCTTAAGTGATTGTATAAAACTGTATATCTTTCTTCAAAAGCTGTTTATTCAATCAAAGTATGCTCCATTCGCTTCAATACACTTCTCCCAACGAGATTTTAAAGCGTAGATGCCTGTCTTAAAAAAATTTTGGTCTTTAGAATTAATAAACTCTGATATCGAGTTTTTTAGACTGTCTTCATTTTCATGGTGTTTGCCTCTTAAAAACAGCTCTAAATGCTTGAAAAAATGAAAATCGGTCGGCGAGAGATCCGGTGAATATGGTGGATGCTGCAAAACTTCATATTCCAGTTCGTTCAGTTTCGCAATTGTTTTGTGCGATGTGTGCGGCCGAGCGTTGTCATGGAGCAGTAGCGGGCCATGCCGATTCACAAGCGATGGGAGTACAATTTGGTGTCTCAATATCGTTGTATGGTCAACTTTCATCCTGATAGCAAGTTCCCTCGTGGATACGGCTGGATCCGCTTCCACTAGAGCCTTCAGGTCATCATTATTCACAGACGTTTTGGGTCTTCCGCGCGGCTCATTTTGCAGTGAAAAATCGCCAGTCCGAAATTTTTCGAACCAACGCTGCACTTTCCGATTGTTAACCGTATTCTCCCCAAACGCTTGGTTTATGTTGCGTGCAGCTTTTGCAGCACTATTACCAAGTTTGTACTCATATAAGAAAATGACGCGAATGTCGGCAGAATTCATATCGGTAATAAACTCAAAAGAAATAAAAAAGGGAAGACCTTCGAGAAAACCTATTTTGTTGAAATGAGTCTCTGGCAATGGACAATACGAGTATGAATGAGGTTATGCCAAATACAAAAGTATAACGAAAACAGGGAGGAAAACGTCCGCATGTAAAGAGAATGCGACATTTCATACGCACCAACCTAATATATAGAATTAGAGGTAACATGTAAGGGAGTGTATGATAAATGTATAAAATAAAATAATTTCAGTATTTTTATTTTATGTTTTGATAATTTTTTATAAATATTATAGGTATTATGAATATTTCGATTTTGAGATCTCGTTTCTTTAGAAGTGTCAATCCTCAAAAACCTTAAAAATTAGTTATTTGCAAGGAAATATGTAATAATTTTCACAAGACTATCATATATTTTAGTAGAGAAGTCCTTCTAATGTGCACATACATTTTAATTTTATATTCCCATAAGGCATTAGATCCCAAAACAAGATGGTATGTTAATTTTAAATAATTCTCCTCTACTCCGTCGCAAAATTGCATACTAAATATTCCGACAGGGCTCACTCTCAGGCAATTAAAGAAAGTTATCCGTTATCATGTTCGTCACATTTTTCTCTGTCCGACCGAAAATTTGCTTTTCCGTAAACATCGAAGAGGTCATCGTCCGGCGTGACTTTCGAATTTCCAACATCGCTTCTCTCATCGCGCGATCGATCTCCATAGCGAGATGCGGTAACGCAGGAAAGTGAACCGACCTACGGGCACGACGACGACGACGACGAGGAGCTTATCGTGCACCTATTTCCGGAACAGCGGGAAGTGTCTTTTTGTCCGACGGCGGCAGCACGTACACTTTCACTGATTTTCCTGATCGGTCGCGAAAGGGAGCGGAGAGCGGCGGCCGCATCCCGTTGATCAGTAGGCTATCTAACGGTGATCGACGAACGACCTCGCGTTTAAGCAGGCGCTTCCTCGTCACTAAAGCGGGCTAAAGGAGAGCGAGAAAATCAAACGCGCGGACCATATAAACGCGCACACCGCGCGCTCATCGCCGCATGCCTGACAAATCCGCCTGCCGTTACTCTTTTCAAATCGGATCGCGTCGCTACCGAAAAGGCTGCTACGTGTCGTGAGTCTCAATCGAACGGACGCGGGACGCTAATGTGGGTCGGTGCTCGTGCAAATAAGATGCTCGTCTTATTTAGGATCCGGCGGAGCGAATTTGTCGTAAAAGCGATATGTAGCGCGCAACGGGTTCGTTAATAATAAAGTCCGCGCTGACGAGGAAGCGGAAAATCGATGTGATACATTCGAAAGAAGATTGTGAGATTATTCTTTTCTTATCGCCTTCTTTCTTCCTTCCTTTCCTTTTTTGCGAACGTACGCGCGTGAGAAATTCGAAAGAGAGATCAAAGTATTCGTGAAATTCAGCGCGACCCGAGGGAAAAACCGTTACAGGCCACGAATATATAATATATAATACATATATGTTTCGTGTCCTTCTTCGGGACTCTCTTAACGACGTCGTCGTCCACAGTCTTGAACTTGACCGACTGCGAGGAACGTTGCCTTCAACGGCCGATGCCGATGTTCCTCAGTAGCGAAGTCGCTCCCTCGATCGGTACACTCGACAGATATGCCCGGTGAAATGGGTACCGTACATTTGCGGTAAGACCCAAGGTCGGTTATTCACTGGAAAGCCGTGGAAAGAAGTTTGGAGGCCTCTTCAGGAGATCGCGCCACGATCTGACGGACATTATCTATTATAAATGAGACATTATCGATCAAAATGTCTGGTCTTTTGGACAAATTGCAAATATTAATTTGTTCAGATATTAAATTGTTCGATAAGTTCGTCGAGATTTTCGTGAAGATTTCAAAGTCGATATTTTTACAGCTCTGCGTGATTTTGTCTCAATAATATATTGACCGTTTTTTTTTTCGCAGCACCCGCCATCGGGAAATAAAACGAAAAAAATTAAAGTTGCGCCTAACTATGAAAGAATCGGCTTTGAATATTTTGTAAAAATTTTTAATTTATCGAGCAACTCAATAAATTAGACTGAAGAAAATTATAGTTATTTTCAGCCTTAACTACAGTGAAAAAAATACTACCATTTAAGTAATATTTCTTTGATCCAAGTAAAATGATTTTCCAAGTAAAATGATTTTCGAAGTAAAATGATTACTCCAAAATTTCTTGGCAAATATTTGCTAAAAATAGAAATATGATTGACTGTGTACAATGATATTTCTTTCATATAAGTAAACATTGTGTTAAGATAATTATGTATGTGTTAAGATAATCACGACAAGTATTCAATTCATAATATTATGAATATTAGAATTTATTTTTAGAACATATTTACTGGACAGAAAAATCTAAATTTGAAATCACTGTTTCTTCAATGAAAAAGAAGTATTGCATATAATTTTAATAAATACTCTCTTAAATTTTAGTAAATACTATCTTAAATTAAATTTAGAGCCGTTTTACTTTTACATTTAATAATTCATTTGCAAATTAAAGTGTTTTTACGTATAAGAAAATATTTATTAGAAGCTATTAAAATATATATAAATTTATAAAAATATAACTTGATTTAAGAGGTTGAGAAACAAGACAATTATGTTTGCTTAACTCTAATACTTTTTTCTATGTATATCCTTTTCATGCATATCCTTTTAACCACAAAAATAGTAGTAGCAATATGCATATAAGATTATTATCATATTTATTAGGAAAATATTCTCCTGACTATAATTCTTTTACCATAATAATTATAGTTGCAAACACAAAATATTTTTCTGTCAGTGTATTAAAAAAAGACGAAACAGAAAAGGAAGAAGAAGTCGATACCTTCTTCCTTATTTAATCTGATCCTTTGTACGATTCTAATTCCTCGTCAAAATTTTTATTTTCACCTCTTTCTAAAAAATACCAACAATACGCCATAAACAAAGTAGACTTTTGTTCCGACACATTTGTGATACATTTTATTTATAAATATAAATACAACGACGAAGTTTCGCATGATTCGACCGACCGACTAAATGCCGCGCAACAATGGTATATCCTTAACACGCTGACTTCGCGGCGACTCGAATTTTATTTGCGAGTCCGACGATGCCGCGTTACTTCTTTTCTCGGCCGTGGTCCGCCACTCGTCCGTGTAGATCGGTCGTAATATATTTTTGTCAAGATCAGTTTCAGTTTCGGGTTCACTCGTATTCGCCGCTGAATCGATCTTCTTCCTCATTTCATCGACAATATTGGCAACTGGGCCGTCATTAAAGACGATACTTCTGCCCTTCGCAACCACCGTGGGCTCCATCTCGGAATCGTTACTCTTTACCGAATTCGCGCTACTCAAGTCAGCTGCTTCGTACTCTTGGAAGGCGATATGATTCCTCGCGTTCGAATCGGAAGCCACGGAGTTCGACGTCGCGATCACCGGTGGTTCCTGATCGTCCGGATAGTTCGGATAATCGATACTGTCCTTGTTTGCGAAAATCTCGCCTATCGTCGGCACGTGATCGGTTACGTTTGCGGCTTCCATCTTAATTGCTCCGTCGCGCGACAAGGTCATCGATTGCCTGTGGAAGCTCCGACCCCATCCATTTCCGCCGTAGCCGCCTCCTCCTCCTGAAGGGGAACCGCTCGGTGGTGGCGCACCGTAACTATCGCTAGGCCCACCACCACAGCAACCACCGCCACCGCCGCCGGCCGAAGATTTTGTAAGGAACACGATCTCCTTCAGTTGTCCTGCAAAGTGGCACGAGTATGAAAGTATTAATTGGAAGAAAACGACAATTTCCAAACATAGGATTCAAATAGTAACGTAACAGTAAAACTTGCCCTTGAAATTCTCTAGATGATCCAGACTTCGCAAAATTGTAGATATATCATTTCACAGATACGCAGATGTAATTTTGAAAAGTAATGCGTTTATACATTTCTATTTTGATAAAAAGAGAGAGTGGGGAAGAGAGAGAGAGAGAGAGAGAGAGAGAGAGAGAGAAGTTGAAGTGGACATACCTCCTCCGCCTCCTCCGCTTTGCCAAGGACCTCCTGCGCCGCCCTTTCCAAATTTCTGCATCAGCATCATCATGGTCACCATTAAAGACATGCCACCCATCATCATGCCTTTTATCGCCGCTATTCCTGTTTACAGAACATTCGATTATTTTCTATCATCATAGATTTAGTGTGTGGTTTAGAAGTTTTACAGGTAAGGGCGATACGTTTGTATGATAAAGGCGCGTTGCAAATTGTTTTTCAAATTCAATATCCAATGTGAGAAGATACATGAAGCAAACGCAACAACATTACCCATCAACTTCGTCTTGATCATCATCAGCATGCCCATCATCATCATCTTGCATTTGCCTCCACCCTTGCCGCCTTTCTTCCGTCCTGTGACAAGTAGTGTTTAACGAATTAGTGGTTAAGTGGAAAACGGTCATTTCTTAATCCTTTGCGGTACAAATTATTTGTATTCAAGCTGATCCGTCAATATTCAATTATTTCACGGCGATTTCACGGCGAGTAATTTATTCGATATTTTAGTAACTAATACAATAATATATAACAATAATATATTTTCATTTATATTTATAGTAATGTATTTAAGTCGAATGTAATATTTTCTTTTCATGTTTAAGAGATTGATTTAAAAGATCGACTGGAATGAAACGTCTCGAGTTTCGTTCCAGTTGATCCTTCAAAGATCGATTTTTCTTTCAAGAGAAAATTTTCGTTTAAGAATTTTCTTTTCGAGGAAATGAATTATTCTTTTAAGATTATTTATATCTCTTTGAAACTCGGCTTCTCATTTTATGGTTAACTTGTGATTTAGACTTAAATTGATGATAATATAAACATGGTATATTTCTATCCATGATTAGTCGTTAAATTGATAGTTTTATAGCGGTGACTTTTACAATTCAATGATTAATCATGAATACGAAAATATAATTTTTACGTTATCGTTAAACCGAGACCACGGAGAATGAAAAACCGGGCCTATGAGAAGATTAATTTCTCTGGTCCTTTGGGAGCCCGGACGTTCCGAGATTTCAAAGAGACGCCTGAAGATCCAGGATGCCTCCTTCGTCGAGACTGCTTCGCGATGTCTCTGAACATTAATGTTGCAGCTGCGATCGTTCCGGTATCGTTCGCGCCTACCTTCTGCCACGGCAGTTTCGTCCAACATCACGTCGATCTGATTCCGTTCTCGCTTGCTGTTCCACCGAGGCAGCGTGATACGCAATGTGAAGGAATCGAATAAATCATCCACGCTGCTCTCGATACTGACGTCCGAGTCATTCCTCGTGGTCCCGTCGGAGCGCGCGTTCTTCACCAGCTTCACGTCCTGCCCGAGCAGCGTAATTTCATCGAGGCGACCTACTGTCTCCAAGTAACGAACTAAGCGCTTCCTGATGCAGCCCAACGAGAACTCGATGATGCACTTGCCGATGTCCTTCACGGGAAACTCCGGGAAATAATCGTCGCCATTGTCGTCCTCGTCGTCCTCGGCATTCTTACTCCCACTCGAGCGGCCCTTCACCGACGGGACTACCTTCACGTCGATCTCGATGCCGTTCTTCCGGAAGTTGAATATCCGACGCTCCACCGGCACCTTGTGCACCCCCCTGATGAGGACGTGATCCTTAGTGGCTCGGATACTGTTAATCCTCTCGTGCGCATTCGCGTGGATCGCGCACGCGATCAGTAGGTAAAGGACGAACATTGGGACGCGCGAGGATCTTATCCTCACCTGCGACCAGACGTTGACTGAGACCACTCGGACTGGACGAATTATCGGCTGACACTGACTGATCCCCCGGGTCACCGCGAGATCATTTATATACATCGGGATTCATGTCATTCGCGGTATCCGCCCGGATTGCGTCTCGTCACGATTGTCATTATTCGCGGGGAGACAGGTCGCCTTCTGATGATAATGATAAGCTCGTGAAGGCGTGGAATCTTTCGTCGGATTTCAGCCGCAATCGGGCGGCACCTGCACCGCCTTCGGAACGTTTCCGGATACCGTGTTAAAATCCAGCCCCTGCGATACACTGACACGCTTCCGAGAGAATCTGAAAGACTAGACGGCTCGTCTTACTTGCGAATTAGGAAATTTGAACAATATATTAGCATAATAAAATATAATAGAATTATCTATGTATTTTAGAATTATGTATATAATACTTCTTTCCTATTTTGTGTGTGTGTGTGTGTGTGTGTGTGTGTGTGTGTGTGAGAGAGAAAAAATCTAGTGATTATAAATTTAAATGTTTCTGTCCAGTAAATATATTCTAAAAATGAAGTCTGATATTCATAATATTATGAATTTAATACTTGTCACAATTATTTTAACGCATACAAATAAATATCTATTTATGCGAAGAAAAAATCATATTGCATACGGTCAATTATATTTCTACTTTTAATAAATATTTGCCAAAGAGTATTGGACTAACAATTTTACTTGGATCAAAAAAACAATATTACTTGAACGCTAGCATTTTTTTTTTCAATATGAGCATACTCAGCGAATTATGAAATATGCTGTATATGAAGGAGAATCTAAATTGTATATCTAAGTAATACTTAAAGTACCTTCTACTATGAAACTCAGCGAATTATGAAATATGCTGTATATGAAGGACGACCAATAGACAGGACAACAGCTTTGCAGCTACCATTACTGCCTTGTCTAAATAACATTAAAAGTATGATTATTCTGATTAATATGAGGAGAATGTAAATTGTACATTTAAGTAATACTTAAAGTACCTTCGACGTCTACTATGAAGCGTAAGATATACGGTAACGCGCGCCTTCGTAGTCGCAACACACCGTGTTCCGACGCAGGCACGACGATGGTCCGCCGATCCCGGCGGTTCAGCGCGGTGAAGGTGCCGGCCTTGTTACTTCTTAATTGGTTCGTACATTCACCTTCGGAGATATCCACGTTCAACTGCGCGGATTAAATTGCCGTGACGGAGAGTACGCGTAAACTTTTCAGCGCGTGATGCGCTTGTGCAGAGTGTATTCACGCCAGCTGATCAAAAAGCATACACACACGCACAGAGAGAGAGAGAGAAAAAGAGAGACAAAGAGAGAGAGAACACGAACTCAATTATCCCGATTAAAATAACAAATTCCCGCGGGAGGAGGGAGAGAGGAACCAGGTACTACGTAATGCATCCGAGACGGAGGCCGCGACGTCGGAGGTAAAGTAAGACCTCGAGACGCGACGCGCAATCGTTGCGAATAACTACGATGTACGCGGTTAGGTTTTTACAAAGGTTCTTTATTACAACTTTACAATAACGAAATAAATATTCAAAGTCATGTACATAATCTTGGTGAATTCGCGCGGGCGGCGGTGATACGAGCTCCCCTCGGCGATTTGCCGCCGGTCGAGAGCGCAACGGCTGCCGCGCAATAAATACGCCTAAATAACTATAAATAATAATAAAGGTGATAACTCGTGAAGGGAAGGGGAGGCAGGGTGGAGAATCACGATGAGATGAGACTGAGCGAGATCGTAAAGATGGACCGGAGCGGGTTGGTGCCTCAGGACGACAGAAGAAGATCGGCGATGAAACGAGGAGGGTGAAATGAAGTGTAACGCAGAGCGAGAGAATAAAGAAGAAGAGAGGAAAAGTGGAGGAAGAAAGAGAGAGAGAGAGAGAGGGAAAGAGTGCAGACGACAACGATAGTGCGTGAAGAGGCTGAAGAGAAGACGGAGAGCCAGGGTCGGGAAGTTCGGTGAGGTAGAGATGTGTGCTACGGATTGTTGCGTCGTGTGCCAGCTAGAGAGAGAGTGTGAGAGAGAGAGAGAGAAAGAGAGAGAGAGAGGTCTCGTGCGCACACGCGAGAGCGTCTCTCTCGGCCAGGTCGGATGAGGATTAATTGATTAATTGTGCAGGATCGATCTGCGATCGCGCGCGTTGCCGTACTTGAGCACGGCCTGCTGCAGGGAGTCGTGCACGGTGTCGAGGGATCTGCCGTATCCGGAGTGGCCGTAGCCGTGGCCGTGATGCTCTTCCGAGCTGTGCGTGTGCGAGCTGGAATACACCGGCTTGCTGACGATCTCGTAGGTGGTCTTCTTCTCGCCGCCGCCCGCCAACGACTTCAGCCCGATGATCGCGGACAGCATCAGCGCCATCAGGCCGGTCATCAGGGCCTTGCCGGCGAGGAGGGCTAGCGCACCGAATCCCACCGCGCCGAGGGTACCCTTCATCATCATCAGGCCCGCCATCAGGGCGCCGTGGCCGCCTTTGTCCTGTTTTCGACGTCCTGTCGGACATTCGTCGCGGTTCAGTTAGTGTCCCGAAACGCGAAGGTCTAACGTATGAAGATCTAACGCGGTCTAAGAAGGTTATTTCATTATGATGCGCACTGTGAGACCCAAATATCGGTTGCGAGTACCGAACCTTTGATTCTCGCGGCGGATATTTAATCGCCCAAACCGAGAATTGAACTTTCGAGTCAACTAAACGAATTTCTCAGTGCATATTATTTCATTATATCACACATTATTTCTTATGTAACTTTATTCGGAATTTCTCTTCAACGTTTCCGGTCAAGACGCTTCGAAACGATTTTAATTAACCGAGCCAACTGATCGTCAAGTTAACTTCAATCGGCTGAATCGCAAGCCTGATTGAAATTGAGGATCCCAGCAGCTTTCTTATGATTTATTTATTACAACGGCTCTGCAAGAAATGGAGGAACGAAGGAGCAAAGAAATGAGATTGCACTCTGATCTTTTTAGAATGATGAAGATTCGAAAAGTTAGAAGCAGGAGATTGGAATTCTAGTCAGTTCTAACCTGTCTCGACATTCTGATTGCCGGCCAAGCCGAGCTGCGCGAGCGTCTCCTCGTTGAAGCTCCTGGCGGCCTCGAAGGTCTTCGGGTCGAAGAGCTTGATGGAGATCGAATGGCTGTTAAGGTAGCTGCCGACCTTGTGGACCAGGTACGCGTCCAGCCTCTTCTCGACGTCATTCGGGAAGTCCCTCGCCAGATTGGCGACCACCTCCGAGGTCGGGACATCCGCGGAGCCGTTCTCCTTGATCACAGATACACCCGGCAGGATACCGATGTCCTCCTGCTCCGACAGTTTATCCAAGAAGGACACCACGTCCAGCTTGAGGCACGTGGCACTGTACGACTTGCCGCAGTCCTTGTTGAGATTCGGCGCCAAATTCTCCGACGTCTCCTCCACCATCTGCCTCGAGGTGCGTCTCTCGATTTCCGCGTTGGCGCATGCCGACAGCGCGAGGACCAGCAGGAAGAGTCGTTGACAACGTGACGACTGGACGACGCTCGTAGTTCCTCTCATCGCGAATGGATTTTTCGCCGACCCGATCAAACGGATAGAAAGAGAGACAGAGGCAGAGAGAGAGAAAGATAGAAAGAGAGAGAGAGAGAGAGAGAGAGAGAAAGGGGGGAGAGAGGAAGAGAGACGATCAGTCGGAGAGGCAGTCGAAAAGGCAGAATTCGTGGTAAATTCTCTCCGTCCCGGGGCCTACGGATCGTCAACGACACGACGATATCCTCGAAGACGAAGGACCCAGAAGTTGACGGATGAGACGCGTATCGTGCACTGGGCATATCCTCGGATACTTGCAGTATATATAGAGCGAGTCACCGGCTAGTCCTTTTTCCTTTTTGCCTTTCGGCCGTTCCATACATTCTCCGTAGTCGAGAGCACCGGCGACGGGAACTCTCTTCTTTGCGGACGCCGAAGAGGAGGCAGGGAGGCCTCTCGCGTCCAACGGCAACGGCCGTGGCGGCAGAACGGCTGCGGCGAGAGGAAGCGTCAAATAGAGCGGAGAATTCGAATCTGAGTCAAATTTGCGGGGAAAAAAGCGCCTGCCGGGAGATGATGAATGAGAGCGAAGACACTCGTCACGCGCCTTACCCGCGAGGCATGTCCAGCCGCGCGTTAACGGCCGTTTAACACGCATGCGATCGATCGCCCGACGACTCTTTTTCCTTTTCCTCGCGTATCAAGCGCGTATCACCGCTCCGCTCCCCTCCCTCCCCTTGTCTTATCGCTGTTACGATTCGCGGGGAATTTCACCGTATTATCCGCGATTTGTAGGTTTGTAGGTATCGCGCGAATGCGCCCGGGAAATATTCGAAATCGCGTGGATCAATCGTCGGGATTGTCGTCTCGCTCGGCGAATCGTTCCCGGAATTTTCGGAGCTCTCCGTGAGCGACCGGAGTGACTCCGGCGATTATTCCGCGCGGCGCAACGTAAAAGTTATAATATGTAGAGCACGTAATACAAAGCGCTAATTTAATGGATCTGGTTGGCCTAGAAAATCGCCGCCGCGTTATCAGGAGGAGGAAGCCGTTTCACGAGGGTGAAACGCGCGTGAACGTCGCAGCCGCGATCAATCGGAATCGGCCGACGCGCTCTTCCCCATCGTTGGCGCCCGTCGGCGACATCACTTTCGGTTTCGAGAGAGCGAAACCAAGAGGGCGACGGGACAAATTGTGCGCGAACCGGACGCACATTCGAGAATCGCAAATTGAAAAGTCCGCTGGCCGGCCGACCGGCCGGCACGCCGGTCTAGGCGTGTGTCGTGGAAATGATGATCGCGGGCGAGGCGAAACGAGACGGGAGGCCTACTTTAAATCAGCCCAGTTTAGCTCGTAGGAGATCCGATTTTCGCGCGCCACGCTCGAGCAACGGCGCCTCAGACGGATCTGCCGATGTGAAAGTACGCAGTCGATTTTCACGAGGCAACTCGTCATGGGATCTTATCGTAGCGCGCGCGCGCGCGCGCAACACACACGCACGCACGGGACTCGTGCACGTTTAGATCGAACGCGCTAGCATGCGCGTGCAGAACAGGTGTGCCGACTTGGAGAACCGACTAGCCTTCTTCCCGAGGCATCCATTTCGCGACTTGTTGCTTCCTTTTCGCGCGGTGCCTTCCTTTCGTTAATAATCGCGCGCGATCTCGAGCGCGTCGCGCTGCTCCTGTTATCGCGGCGCGAAGCGCGACAGATCGCGCGGCCTCGAGGCGCCGGCAGCGTCGCAATTTTACCCGTGAACGTCGCACGCCGGTCGGAAAGTAAACATTTTTTGCCGAAACTGAATCCTGCTAAAAATGCCTATCTTTGTACGCGGGAAATATCTTCCAAAGGGAGTAGTAACTATTTGCTAATCATTCGACATTTGTCTCGCTCTTTTAGATAACAAATAATTACGTTTTCTTATGAATATCTAGTGAGGAATAAACGTTAAATCAATCTTTCGAAACATTGATCTTATGTCGATTTTATCAATATTTTGGCATAATATTTTATAAGTGTTTTGAAATTGTTACTTGATACAATATTTCTAAATATAAAAATCATAGTGTACACATATTATTTTTAATGTTTGGGTCAAATATTGCTAACAATGATGTTGTATACAACATTAAGAACTACATATTCGAAAAAAAACATTATATATTATAAAATGTCATTATAAATAACGTAGTATTAATGATTTCTTGTTTACTGGTTTCTTTTAAAGGGTTCGTGATTTTTTCTTACAATATTCTTGAATAAGAAAGGAATTTACATTATTTTGGAAAAAATTGGATATTGTTCAGTTGAATATTTTCATTTTCTGTTTCTTTCCAGACCATACACAAAGTCCGATAGAATTCGGACGTTATTCAAATTAAAAAAGAGGCTAATTATTTTCGAGGTGCAGAAAAGTGTAAAATAAATTTAATAGA